TTACGTTAGGTACCTACGACCATAGTACGTTAAGGTAATATATATATATATCTTTTTTTTTATGATAAGATAATAACAAAACGAAAAGATAAAGAACAAGATCAAAATGAATTATAATTCGAAGTTATTAGACAATGTGTGTGGTAAATCGTGAGATAATAAGTTACGTAATCTTGTTTACATATTACATCCCTGACATCGGAAAATTTTCGCTTTAAGTCCTCTATATACATACTTTCGAAGTTTTGGAAAACATATTCGCCAGAACCCATTACTGGAATTACAGTTTGAATAAAAGGACAAGTCTAGCTGCTTTCAGTATCAAATTATGCATTTTTATCAGCGTGTAATACTAATATAACACATAGAAATATGTTTGTGATTTACTTAAACTCATCAAGAATAGTGTAACCTAAACATTATATTCCTGTTTTATTAACACATCGACAAAAATATGAAACCTTACATCCCAAATGTTTTTCGGGTTATATGGTTTTGTATTTTTGTCTTTGATTTTTTTAACCTGCGTGTTTTCCTAATATCATGAATTAATACATCGTCCAGTTTTCTCTAAATAACATTGTGTTTAGCCTATTGTATGGAGATTTCGAAAGAACAGTAACGTATGAAATGTATTTATTGATTTAAATGTGTTTAAAATACATATATTTATTTCAGCAATTGTCCCTAGTGTGACATTTAAATATTTCAAATGTGCGTGAGTGTAGTTGTCGAAAATAGTCCCTAACGTTATATTCCAAACGAGTTATGGAAATGTGAAGTTCATGATTATTTCAGTAATTAACATAAATGTTTTTGTATGTATGTTTAATTTTGAACTTTGTGTTATCTATCATGTTGCAACTGTTATGTGCGTCAGATAGACTAAGATTATTGAGAGGAACTGTACTCATTTGTAATTGTGCATTAATATCTCCCATAAATCAACTTAACATATACTAAAAGTCCTATGAATGGACATAAAAGTTGTAAAATTTAATCTTGCAAATTTAGTCCCTTTTAGAAATATTGAGACTGAAGTGTGCTTACTATGGAACTGGAATGTAATTGGAAATTTTTAAACCGACAAATACAAGAAGTTATGTATTAGTGGTGTGAGTATGCCCCCCACCCCCCTTCAATTGCGGTGTGTGTGTGTGTATGTGGGTGAGTCAATAAAAGAAATAAATATAGAGACCCAGTTACTTTTTTCATACGGGGAGTATCTTTTATAGTTACGTTACTGGTATGTATGTAAATATTGGAAGAAACACTAAATTGAGTTTAAAAGAGAAACCACAGGTAGCGGGAGTGTCAAATGTATTGGTTGTAATGCTTAAAGAAGAGAAGTACATTTTGCTTGAATGTTTACGTTCGATTTGTTTCATTTTACTGTTAACAGGGGCTGTCCTAATATGAACCAAAATGGTTGAGATTTTTCAATTTTACACGCAATAGCTGTGTTCGTTAACAACTTTCCTCATAAGATGCCGAAATAGTTTCGGTGTACCCCCAGTTTTCCTTATTGAATCATGTACCGCTAGAAGCATTAGCTGACCCACATGAAGAATGTTAGAACGTCCTATCTCTGTTCCCCATCTGACCACGACCTGCTAAAACCACTAATGGTCTTCACCAGAAACTGAAGGGGTGTCAGTGCACCGTTTCGTTTCAACGCGCTACTCACACGAAAACCAAATGCTTTGTGGTGCCAAATATACGCGTAGATATTAATGACACACATGAAAGCAACATGTAGCTTAGCTTGAGTGATTATCCAACAACCACCGCATTTCTAAGTCTTAACTTTAGAATAAGTAGAAACTTTCAATGTAGAATTTCAAAATCATATATGAATTTCCTCTAAACTAATTTAATGGCAATATGGCGTGTGATAATTGAACTAATAATTATTGTGATTTTTACTACAGTATCAATAAATTAAAGCGTTATCTCCTTTCTTAAACCTTTTTTTTTCTGTGCTAATTGTATTTGCCTAAGCTTATAGTAAATAATAATGGTAAAAAAAATGTACACAGAACAGAAAATTAACTTAATGTAACTTACTGACCAAAGGCACAGGAATGTTTTTTTTTCTCTTCACGTCATCGTTCATATTTTTGAAAAATCTAAAAATATTTCGACAAATTCAAGTCTGGTAACTGATATGCAAAAGCTGAGAACGTTAGGTTTCTAAATGTGAATGTGTGCTGTGACTGTTTATAGTGCTGTGTGTATTTAATAAAGTAATATTTTTAATGAGGTTGCAATAGGTAATTCTGTAATTTAATCCATGCTTTGAGTGACTATTGTGATAGAACTCTTGCAGACCATAGGTCATTTGGACCTGTTCTGTATCGCTTGAGACCCCTTACAGTAGATTCAGTAACAGTGACTATTATATCAATTCTTATTTGTCTGAATGTATTTACTTCAGGATAAAATCTACAGCAACCAAAATATGGTGCTAATTAGACATTACAATCACCTCCTCCTTGCAGCTTTCCATCAGTATTTGTTATTCTCTTGGGAACCAACCTCCCACTCCCTCCCCGTTCTGGTTTCACTGGAAGGGTACCTTCCCCGTCCCTAGTTTCTGGTTTCATTGGAAGACCGCGTTTTCGTCCCTAGGTTCTGGTTTCATTGAAAGTGTACCTTCCCCTTGTAGAATATAAATCCTCACGTTCCAGTTTGAACGTCAGTAAACATTTGCTAACTCTACTTAATTTTTTTAAAATTTGTACTTTGTAAAATCTTCTATATAACGTAACCAGTGCTTTTTAACATACAAGTTTATCATTTGTGAACAATTAAATTCTCTTCACGTTATATCACTTCTAATAGTTCCGGTTTAACCTGCAAAAGTTTAAATTTATAGGCATGTCCACTTTATTTTTGTAATTCAATTTTTTTATCTTTGATTTGTATTAACTTGAAGTAATGACGTCACCAGACAACTTTCCGTTTCCGCTAGCAGTCCACTGGTGAATATCTAAGTTTCTTGTGTTTAAAACAGGTTATTTGTTCAACGTATCTTGAAAGATTACTTATCGCAGCTGGCAGTTTTTATATAGCTATTTTTTTTTTTAGCTGTATGGATCTAACAACATTTTTCCCATTATCTTTGAACTCGCACCTTCCTGCACTTTCCGAGTTGCCGATAGGTGTCACATTTGCCTGCATAACCGTACTGATCATGCATGAATAACAGTGCCAAGTTGAGAAGTGACCTAGTAGTGGCTTAACCTTTTGCGTACCTAGCTGGCGTAGTTAGCTTTTCATCGCCCATGCATATGGCCATTCTGCTGAATGTAAACGTTTACTTTTTAATAGGGTCATTTTTGAGAAGAAAGTAGCTTATTACTAGTATTTGTATTTAAAGAGTATTTTAGTAGGGAAATATTATTAGTTAACGTAGTTCACAGACGTCGTGTTGTTAATCTATATATGTACCAATGTTCTTATTTAAATTTTGTATTAAAGAAATTTATTTTATGTGAAATCATAGGGGGAGCACCTGATGGTGGACCGAGAACTGCGGAAGATTTTTTTCGAAAAGTAAGTTATGTCAGTTTAACTTTTTATTAGTTGACAACTAGGTGAATCTGGAAACGAAATAATTATCTGTACGCATGCGTGCATACATACATACATACCGAAGCCTTTACAAGTGTTGTTCATTATAATTTTCTAACATGCGAGTATTCGGGAGTTATGCACAGACAGTTTCCTTTACCTTCGAAATTATTAAAAAAATGAAATAACTATTCAAATGGCAAAACTTCGTAGGTCTTGCTACAATAAATCCGCAGACTTGATTGAACCACAGCGTATAAGTGGAATTGAAAGTAACTCGTATGTTAGCCAATAGGTGTTTGTTGTAACTTGATATGTAGTGATGTCAAAAGTTGATACTCCTCGCAAGATACAGTAAGTGTTATTCTCGGCGTCTTCTAGATAATGCTATCTATAGGTAAACAACTTGAGGGGCCGGTTCTTTTAATCGTTGAAGTTGATAAGTGTGTTACAGTTTGGTTGAAGTCATGATAGGATTTTTTTTTTGGTCTTAGCCTACAGTGTTACTTTCATTTTTATACTTTCAAAATGACGAAAATACTGAGGAATTTTACTTAATTAACACAAAGCTGCTGCAGTGTTACTTTCATTTTTATACTTTCAAAATGACGAAAATACTGAGGAATTTTACTTAATTAACACAAAGCTGCTGCAGTGTTACTTTCATTTTTACACTTTCAAAATGACGAAAATACTGAGGAATTTTACTTAATTAACACAAAGCTGCTGCAGTGTTACTTTCATTTTTACACTTTCAAAATGACGAAAATACTGAGGAATTTTACTTAATTAACACAAAGCTGCTGGAGAGAGAAAAAAAGTTTAATACAAGGAACTAATTTTTAAACAACATATTTTCGTTATTATCAGTGACTTATCTGAAAATTCACGGTATATGGCGGTGAGAACGTAATGGTATGACATTCTAAGAACCCATGGCTATCCCGGAGGGATATCATCGTACTAGTTTATATCGTTTTTTTTACCCGACAAACACTCGTCAAATGATGTAGCATGAAATATTTCATTTTGTCTTTGTACGTGTATTACCCAATACTACTGTAGATGATGTCTTAGACAAGACGCTCGCATATCACGTGATGTCTACCCCCCTGTTTTATAAAGAAAAAACAAACAAAAAATGCGCATTGTCATCTTAGCTAATAGTGAAATTATGTTTATTTAGTAGAGAAAAACGAACTTGCATGATTGTACTCGTATATTAAATTCGTACGTGTGCGGTATTTTTAGTGGTAATTTTGACGTTTTTCAATATGTGGATTACCCCTCCCCAAGTTATAGATATGCTTATTTTAATAGACATGTCATGCTATGTTCCAGATTATGGAGGAAACGGATACCCAAATATCATGGCCCTCCAAACTGAAAATAGGCGCAAAATCCAAAAAAGGTACGTTGTAATTTCTTGTATAGTTGTGTAATATTTTAATTGGTCACATACAAACTTTTTCTATCAACATGACCGTAACAAACATACTGAATAGTGAAGAAAAGTATAAAAAAATCAGTAATAGTTCCGACCTATAAGTTTCAATAGAAAAAACTAAGTTAAATATATTTACAGATCAAATTTTTGTCAGATGAAAAACGTTTCTTGGTTAAAACTAAAATATTTTTCCGTAAGTATCACTCGTTAGTATGTTCTGAATAATTAGGCTTAACAGTGGTCGAGAGATTATGAAGTGTGGATAAATATTAAGTTAATGATTTTTTTTTAAGCATTGTACAATTGAAATGTAAAAAAAAAAAATGATATTCGGATAATTTTAGTGTCAGGAAAATCCTATCTCACTTTCTATTTAATATCTGGTACAAATTTGCAGGTTTCAGTTTTTTCTTTTTTATTCTGTAATAGACATTATATATTGGTTTGTTCGACATGTGTATATAAAACTTGGTCTATATCGAGTCCTTTAAGGTTGCAAGAGACATATCAGTATCATGTTTGTTCATAGTTCTTCACTTCTAAATTGTTTGAATTTCCTTGTTATATATTTGGAAATGGTTTACTTTATGGATTAGAGCTCTGGCTGTGTAACGCTTCGCAGGAACGTTTTAGATACTAGGTTGTGTAAAACGTATATCCTTGTAACGACAAATCCATCACTGTTCGTGTTTTCAGATAGCACGCGTAGTTTCCCGCTCTTTTTTTTAAGTGCTTGCACGCATGCCAGTCGCTACGTTTTTGTCTGAAGAGCTTTTTTTTAAATATTTGATCGATATTATCATTCTGTTGAGGGCACCTGTTTGTAAATTACATTATAACGTAATGTGTTATAGATATCGTTTATACTCCAAACAGTTCAAAATAAGGTACTTTTCCTATAAAATTTTTCACGTAAAAAGTTAGCTTAAGATATGTGTTTTATATAATTACTAGATAAAACGTTTGTGACACTTTGTTAAAAATTACTACGGAACTACTTGTCTTTGTTCGCTTTTGATGTGTCGCCTTTTTCGGTTATCTTAAGAGGAGCATACAGTTCAAGTGAAAGAAGGAACATTAAAAATAACCAAGGTGTAAAAACAAAACATGCTATTCATGGGTACTTTGGAGTAATCATTTAGGTTAAAACAAAGTTGTAACACAACTTACGCTTGTATGAAGGATAGTACCTGTAGGAAACCTGGACCCTGTATTAAATAAACAATCTTTTTAACGCTTTGGGTAGAATAACGCACACTGGCAATATTGACACATGATTAAGCTGGAAACAATTTTTTACAGATATACGTTTCCCAATGTTTCAGTTTGACAAACTGTGGTAACTCGATTAATCTTAATAGATTAGAAATGCTTCAAACATTGTTATATACGTGACTTGTAACGTTTGTATAGCTAATGACATTTAAAAATTATTATATTAGACAAATATAATTACACTGTGAACACTGTTGCATTATTAATTTTTTGCGCTGTATTAAATTTTGCCAAACTATTTGTCTTTAAACGTTAAACAAGTAGCGCACTATATGGCTTGAAAAAAAAAATAGCATCTGTTTGATTAGGTTTTACATCTAAAAAAAATGTAAGATATTTAATTCATCTGATAGTGAAATATTATTTATTTTTGACCCGCAAAGAAATTTTCTTGGTGAACATATTTGAAATAAATCTTGCATAGAAATTTTCTAACGTAAGGTTCATTGTCGCAAAATGTCTTCAATGCGAGGATGTTTAAAGATGTGACAAAAATTATATTCGTATACTAATTAAACGCTTGCTCGTCGTAACAACTTTGGTAAATTTAAAAATTCCAAGATATATCATGATGTTAAATACTTCTCCCATTCTCGTCTTATGGTCTGAACGAAATTTACTGTAAGTCTTTTAATTAGAGGGGGGGGGGATATTTTTTTAAAGTAAAAATCATTTTACTAATTCAGATTTATAGCGATATAAATAAGATTGTTGCAAAATTACTTCTAACCTACTTCTTCCATATCACGCCATAACAGTTGCCAATCTGTTTTTACTAATATATGTCTGAGCCACTACAGCTGCCCTGAATAGCACTGGTATTACACGAAAAACCTCGTCGTCACTAGATAGTGTTCACTTATTCTACGCTATTATTTACTTTCACTTGGAAGCTTTTATTAATAATATTCAGTACGTCGACAATTCCAAGCTGTGTTCGTTATAGTACGACTGCAACATGCACTTGTGTACTTCCAAAAACACAAGTACAGGTCGTGGATTTCAATCTATCACATATTTAGCTCAACTTCTATGCTAATCACCGATGAGGTAGACCCCATTGACTTTTTAAACCATTTATACTCCAAACTGATTGTAGTTGCATGATTTTGTTGGTTACAGGAATCATGCTATTATAAAATTCGATCACATAGATAAATGTAAACAAAATATCGTCAATATTACATTTAATAGCATTCATTATTTTGAGATTTCTTACATATTTGACATAGAAAATGAACTATTTCGCCTAATCTATCATCATTGGTCGTTTCTGTACTCGACTGTTGTAACGGATAAATGTACATAAGATTCTTCAATATGATATATGTTGACCCAGGGTAGTGAACGAAAAAAAACAACAAACAATTCGGTAATTTGAGTTAAATATTTGCCTTGTTATTTTAAGTTTAGTGTATAGGGAGGAATTCAGCGAACATAATAGTGCAAGTAAAGATGAGTATATACACAATATGTCAACCATACTGTCTCTGCCATATGTAGTGCCGACGATGCCTTTTGACAATACCACGACTCACCAGGCCGGCTGGAATATCCATGCTACAAATTCAGCGGTAGTTCCCCTATGATAACTGGAATACGTAGAAAACCGATCTGAATGTTACATGCATTTTTGTGCATTAGATAGACTTGAGTTAATTTTAAGAGCCCGTGAATAGTTACAGAAGAGGTTCACTTAACTGATTCAGTACGAGCTTCTGATTTGGTAGTGTTAGTTTTAAAATGCTTGTAATACATCGTCATTCAGTACTGCGTAAACGTTAAAGATAAAAAAAAAAATCATTAAAATAAAAACTGAATCTGTTTACAAACGATTCTTTGTCGCTTCACTTTCAGAAATACATTGAAAAACAGTGGACCTTTTGATATTATCCTAGAAAAAGTTCGACTTCAATGTTTTCAGCAAACACTGCCTCTTCTGTTGTTCGCCCAGTGTGATCCACTTGAGAAAGGTCAGCTGACGATTTAATGGGAACGGATGCCATCGTCAGGGTGGGCTAGGAGAAAGGGGATAGCGTAAAAGTGATACTGAACTCCGCATATACGTAAGGGCACAAGATTTAAAGTGAGCTCGTGGTTTGTAGTGCCACGAAAAATTCTTTCAGCGGAGTGATTTGGTGGAGGCTGTAGAGGAAGTGGTAAAACCTACTGCAGTGTGTCTAACATCGGATGAATCATTAAAGGTCCTTGTATTGAAGTGTGTTACCATTTCGATGTATAGAAATTTGACTGTTCCAACAGTCGTAATGCTTTACATATTCATTTGCAATGGTTCCTTGAATTCCATGATGGTCGTAACACACGTGTAGTAAATCTTATTCCTGAGCTTGTAGTAATATTCTTTTGGTATTTAATTTTAAATTATTACGCATCATGAAATGTCTTAAACAATGTATGTGTAAAGGCTAGTGAGTATTTCCATTATAAAAGTAAGACAATCATTTATTTTCACAAAACATTCTTTGTAAATGTAGCTTCTTAATCCTTCATGTCTATATGCGTTATTTGTGGCGGGAAATATAGCGATATGAAACTGTTTTTAGTTACTTGTATTAATTTTTCAATATATATATATATATATATATATATATATTATTATTATTATTATTATTATTATGTTTTGTATGCAGGCGCGTGCGTGAGTGTATTTTATGTAATGCAACTCTATTAGTTAATCATATTTAACCCTGATAAATGAATTTATTAGGCATATGGACACGTCCAATAAACCGAAAAGGAAGTTGTGTGGAAAGTGTAACCTTCGAATTTAATCTTTCCAGAAGCTTTAATGTACGAGTATGACCGAATAATGATGATGATAATAAAATAATGTTAGATGAAACGCAGTGAAATAATAAACCTAACCCCGTGTATTGCTGCGAGCTAAAACCACAAGAGAACAGCCCTAGAAACTGGTGTCAGCAGAGACGAACACCAGACTTGGCAGACGGATGTAGGCGGCCGCGGCCCTGAAACGAATCCTGTGTTTTAGCCAGAGAACCGTCAATAAATCTGACACCAGTACTCAGTTTTGCAACCAACCCGAACGAGGGGGCAGCGTCCTCCTAATACCGCATGGAAAAGGTTTACGGATGTAAGCTTGTTGTGGATAAAGTGTCTGTCCCATGTTAGTGGAAGCCAACACATTCCCCTCCTGTTTAAGTATCGTCAACCCCATGGCTTGGATCTTTGTTTTGAACTTTTATTATACACTTACATAAAATATTAATATAAGTTCTATGAGGCCCAACTATCTGACACATCTGTGATATTGTAATAGTAAAATAGTAGCTAAAGGGTAAGGGTCACCATTTGTCTTAAGTGTTACCTGTAGTGTACTTTTTCATATATTTGGTCACTATTGGAGACTTTGACTACATTTTCATAGTTACAGTAACATGTTTAGTAGTGGTTACTCAAATTTACCATTATTATAAAAAGCACAATATTCATAAGTGTTAAGAAAGAATTGTATGTTTTATCCATGTATATTTCTTAACAAACTTCACAAAATGTCATGCTTAGGTGCATGGTACCTGAGATGTTTTTTTTCCCAAGTCAAGACTAGATATTCTTCTCTCAGAGCAGAAACAAAAATTACATTTTTGGATTTGATTTCTAGTTTCAAACATTGGTTTAGCTAAGAAAGTTAAGTAACTTGTGTAATTTCTGTTAATATTGTGAAAGTATTCAAACTAAATATTTCTTTTAAATGTTGTTGGTTTGTAGAAAGAAGCTTGGTTATTTTGAAAGTATGGTGTTTGTGTTATAGTAGTTAGTGACTTCATATTAGTCATGATTTTTCACAATCTTGTCTAGATCCACACATTAAAATATGTGGACGACCAGAAGCAGTGTCAGGAGCTCGGGAAAAGATTTTAGAAGTTTTGGACACAAAGGTAAGGATGTCTTGAAGTGGTATTTTTTTTCATATCATGATGATGCTGTTTATGATTATAATATTTCTTTATATTCATGTGAAATTAGAAAAATATTTTCAATATGGATGAAAATGGGCCTGGGTGATTTAGTATAAATATGATTGTTTTTTGCACATAAAGGGCAGAGTCAAAATAAAAGTACATTAATGTGGTCATGCATTGTTTGAACTGCTACAATATTCAATGTTTTAAACCATTACAACTAGGAGTAACGATGTCTTATCAGGAACATTTGTAAACCATTTTACCACTGAAGGTAGAACCTGACACTATGTGCTTGGTAAATTTTTTTGTTGTTGTTTTCTGTTAGGAGTAGATTTTCATAGTTCAGAGCAAACACATTGTATCAAAATGTGGTGATATTACTATAATGTTGTTGATGTATAATGTTCTCCATGCAAAAAACAAAACACCCCCCCCCAACCCCCCCAGAAAAAGAAAAGCTTAAATATAATTATGTTGGTATGTATATGCTTTGTATGTTTATATTGTAAAAATGAAAAGTAATTGCCAGTCATTATAAATTACTCTAAACGTAGGTCTTTTAAACATTTATCTTCCTTGTAAAGCAAGGTACTGACTGTTTCTTTGGAAATCTTCTTGATTTTGCAAATAAAATTCTGCTCTTAAACAATGTAATCTTGTACATCTCCCTTGTGTCTAAAGCTTGTCAAGGAGTACGCTTAACTGAATGTTATTATAGTATTACATGGAGTAGATTTTAACAAGGATGTCTGTCTTGTCTGATGAGGAAGTAATGTTTGAATTTATTCAAAGTGATTTTGTTAACTTGGTAGATGTGCAGTGATTTATGGCTGTTGCGTAGTACGTCTTTTATAAATTCATGTTGGGAAGTGGTTTGAAAATTCAGATGTTTCAGTATGTGCTAGCTCTCTTAGTAAAAAAACAAACAACAAACTAGCTGTTCTGGTACATTCCATTTGGCTTATGGTATTAAAAGGAAAAATCAGTCCTATACAAACATTTAACATTTACAGAATTATGAATATAACTTTTTTTTTCAGTTGTATTTGTTTTGCTACATGAAAAAGTTGTTTTGAATAAAATTAAGTGAACATCAGTAACTTTGTGGTGAAAATGTTTACATGAGATTCAAGTTTGTATGAATCAGTCCTGTTTTTAGCAGTTCAAAAGCCTAATGAATAATTATAAAACTTTAAAGTTTATTCTCTAATGATGCCTTTCAGAGTATGAGAGTACATTAACATGCAAAACATGAACAATTTACCAAAATCTGCTGCTTCTAATAGTTTAAATAACTGATACAACATAATTATTATGATGTACAGTTTCAGATTTATCAACAATTCTACTAAATTTTGTCAAGATAACACAAATTTGTCAAGTTTTTTCACTTTACTTGGATCCTTACAATTAACAACACCTTTTTAAATTAAACACTATCATTGTTTTTGCTTTTATATCCTAAGAATGATTCTTTTTATGTCTTCAATAAAATAAAGATGCTTAAGTAAATATTGTCAAAATATTGGAAATAGTGTTTCTTGCCTGATTTAACTTGCTTGGCAATACCTTTTTTTTAAAACTACCCTTATAATTGATATCTAAATATATGTAAGAATCAACCACTTCTGTGGGGTCATCCTCAAACAAAAATGTGTGTTTTCTTAACTTTGTCTCAAGAAAATATAACACTTTTATTTTTGCTGGTGTTGACAGTAATCTTCCATTGTTTACAATAATTGGACACAGACTGTAAAGCACTTTGTAATTCATTTGGAAACCCAGCCATGATAGTTGTCATCAGAATAAAGTAACACACATAATCTTGAATAAATTTCAATATCTTCATCACTGAGATTATTTCATATGTCTTCTGACAAAACATTAATCCCTTACAATACCTGCCAACATAAGATTTAAAATTATTTAAATAATTTGCAAACAACTTTGGTGATAAATTTCCCCCTCGTCTTACACCAACATTACATGTAAAAACTTACCTTTTACCATTGAGAAAAATACATGATTTTACATTTTCATATATATTATACAACTTTAATTATTTTACCATTTATACAATAGCTTATAGGCTTTACCAACAATGAAGATTTGTCCACTGGATCGAAAGCTTTTTATAATAAGGCACAATACATTTTTTGTTTCCTACTCAATTAAATGTTAAAATAGAATTAAGTATAAAAATATGATCTATGGTAGAAAACATATCTCAAACATACCTGTGGCCTCTAAAAAGTTTGTAATTCTATGAGTAAGGGTTGCTGCAGAAAGTTTGCCCAGGCAACTTGATTATATATACCTCCTATAATCTTCTGGGTTTTTGACCTTGACCTTTGTTTTTATAGACACACAATTAAACCAGTTCACCAATCTATTGGTATTAAATCAGTATCAAGAACAAAATTAAATAAATCTGTTATGAGTTTAAGTATTTCAGCTGAGCAATTCTTTAGAAATTCATTTTTTTATGTAATCCACAAGATTTTATTATTCTTTAGTTGTTTTTTATTATATTCAATATTTCATCTTGAGTGAAATTAAAGTTCAGATCCTCATTTATAGAATGATTTATTGTTCATGGATCAAATTCATTCTCTTTTGTTTTTGAGTCATTGTCTATACATTTATTACTTAATGTTTTAAAGTTATCAATAAATGCCTGTAATGAGATTTCAACAAGTTTACTTCACTCCACATTTTTGTTTTATAATATTCCAATAGTCTTGTGTATTATTACTTTTCATTATTTAATTTTTTTGTAATATGCATTTGATTTAACTTTAACTTTTTATATTTAGTTGCTACTGTCTTAAGTTCTACTTTAACATCATGGTTTAACTTGGTTTTGATTTTTCTTTACTTTTTAAAGTTATTTTTGATATGCGTATATTGAATTTTGCAATCATCAAACCAGCATTTGACAAACTTTATATTTGGTTTACTATTTTTGATTATCCTCATTTCTTTACACACTCCCACTTCTTTAGCTACATTTATAAATAAAGTACTTAGTTTGTTACATACAACATCCAAATTTACTTTTGAGATTCTAAATGTTTAATAAAATATTATATATCAATTTAGCAGCATCCCACTTAAACAAACATTTTGCTTAAATTCTGTACTGGTAACTTCAGATTCTTAGATTTCACTTGTATTACCTTGATTTGATTATTTTTAAAGATAAAAAAAAATTGGACAATGTATATCTGACAAATAAATATCTAGTACATCAACACAAAAGTTTGAGATATAAGGAAATAGTGAATAAGATGCAATCACTTAATCACTACAACTTTTACTGTTTTTGTTATACCAAGTGTATGAAACAAAAGGTTTATCACCAATTCTTCCATTAACAATTTTTAGATCATTGGCTTGACACAATTTCAATAATTTTTCTGCCATTGTTGTTTGTATTGTTTATCCATATTAAAATGATCTGTAACAATACCAAGCTCAGATCAATTGTGTCGCACATCCCCACAATTATTACAATCATTGAAACCAGTAAAATTTGAAACCTCGTATTCAGTATCTGTGAAATCATCTAATACACCAGTTCTTGCATTACATTCCTTAATAATACACACCAGTACCTCAAATTTACTTTTCAGCTAAATTATATCTTCTTCTATATTATGAAACTCATTTAAATTCTAATATATGGAATTTTCACAAGGGAGACGTATAGCACCAATTATACATTAAAAACGAATTATTTTATCTGAAAAATTAAACACAGACAGTATTTTCAATAAATTTTGTGTAATCATATAGATGATATTTGACCATAATAAATAGCTCATGAACTCCACCATGCTTATGAATAAGATTCTTTTTTTAGCATAATATGGCTTTTATATTCTTATAGCAGAATGTCTTTTAGATCAGGACAGTTAATCTTTATTTCACATAGTATAATGGTATCACAATCCTTCAAATAACCATCCATTATTTCTAAATTAAGCTTACTGTTGAGTCTATTAACATTTATTGCTGCTATTGCTAGTTGACTGGACATCTGTGGGTAAGGGGTCTAGCTGATCCTGCTGTGACAGATTGAAGCACGACTTTGATCTTCTCATCCTTTCTTCAGATCAATCCAATTTACTAAAGAGATCATTTGGGTTGCTTATGACATACTTCCAGCCATATTCACCCTTCTTCTTACAGAAGATTTTGTCAAATATAGTCCATACATGATCTAGCTCCTCATCCTTCCTTAAGACTTTAGTCATTTATGCTTGGAGGGGGGGGGGGAGTAAATGTTCTTCTACAAACACCTTTTCAAACTTCTGTTTCAAGTTATTTTTTCCATGAAAGATGTTACACTTCTGAAGTAATTGTTTGTAGTTTTTGCTGTCTTCCTTATTCAAAGTACGTTTATAATTTAATTGGAATGTTTGGGTAACTGCATGTATTGTGAAAAATGTTCTTTTAATAAGAATGTTCTAAAAGACTTGATGTTAAATTTAGCTATTATCTGTTAGTATGTAATTTTTTAACCATATCTCTGATGAGAATGGCACATCTTTGATGTAAGTACTTTTAATAAATTGGACAGTTTGTTCTCTAGCATTATCTGAATACTCTTGGCTAGACTTTGCTAAGATACACATAAATTAATACGTCAAAATTATATATAGATAAGGATGCACATGTACAGATGTGCAAACTAGTTGATCATATTCAGTTTTCATCTACATTTTAGGCAAAGAACAATTTTGCCAAAAAAAAAAAAGAGAGAATGTACTTTTTGTAAATTTCCATACCCATGAATAGGTTATTTAAGTTAAGTTTTTGGAAATCATTCGTGATTCTTACCAACATTATTATTTTTAAACCATTGTGCTGTATCTGTTCCTTTTCAATGTTTAAAGTTTTTATTACTTTAAAATATGTTTGTTAGAGAGCAAGTATATTCTTGTACAATCAAAAAGTTGGGTATTTATTACTATTAAATCTGAGCATAATTCAAAAAAAATTGCAAACACTATGATAATTTTCTAAAAATGCTAAGATTAGTGGTGTAGGAAACCCCTGCATAAGTAATAACGATAGAAAAATCAGATTGAAGACCTTCAGTTTACATGATTCAAAACTGCTTGTTGAAAAATGAACTGTAATGACCAATAAACTTGACCTGAGCTATGAATGTTAATTTCAGTAGTAGGTATATCGACAGAGTTTAACATGTATTGCAAGTATAATTTAAAAGAAACTGCTGTAGGCAACTGAAATTCCAGACTTGTAATTGGAAATTGGTTAGTCTCTTTATGGCTAAGTGTATGTTTATTTTAAAACATTAAAATACAAAACCCATTTTTACTACTAGTAAAACATTTAATGATCTCAACTAGGATTTATCTGCCTTGAATATGAAGTTCTTATGCCTCAGTTACTATAGCATTGACAATAGTGCATGTTAAAGATTCTGGTTTAACTTCTCAGTTCAGGCACCAACATAAACATAAAAATGAGACTGTTAAGAAATGTACTATGACTCGAGCTTCAACCCAGGACACTTGGTTGACACAGATGCTGTGAGGTTAATGTTCTACCACCTAATGTACTACAACTTCAAATTTCAAACACAACCATTTACCTGGATATTAATACCTACAACTTCAAGGTAATTTCATCTTTAAAATGTATTCATATTGACATTTTGATTGCTAATACAACACACTGCAATAATTGCTGTTATATTATTAAATGTGGTGAAAATCTAATCTGTTATTTGTGGGTAGTTTGAGCTATTGGAGTTTTATAATGTCTGACAAAAAAAGATTATCTTAAGATACCAACCCAGATGCTTATTTTGGTGTTTAAACCCTTCACATTAAATTATTATATCTTAATTTATTTTCATGAAGAATATCAAAAACATAAAAGTATTAAAAACTTAATGTGGAAGGAAAAGGGTATCTTGGAAGCTTATATCTTCATTGCTTTGGGTTTTTAGATCTTCAGCTTTTATTTCAGTAATAAAAAAAAGTTTTTGGGTAGATGGTTTATTATGTTAAAAGGTAGCTTAAACTCTTGTATAATTTCTTGAACACACTTTTCTTTTAAATGGATAGCAATTCTTTTTAACTACAATCACCAAAATAGCTTTTTTTGCAAAGCTATCATAACAAAACATTTGTATACAACAAGTATCAAATGTTGAATTAGCATTTATCAATATTTGCAATCTCAACTTTTTTAAGTTTGTAAAAAAAACCCAAAAAAACCTATTTCAACAAATTTAGATTACAGAAGCACTAACACTTAAAGTTTTAATATTAAATTCACTGCACTGTTTCGTTCATTCAATCCTGGTTTAAGTCTGTCGATCTATATACTCTCCTTTATATGCAGTTCATGTTTGCCTTTGCAAGGATTTTAAATCATCCTTTTCTCATACACTTGTTACACTTATTCAGCACAGATTTCTTTTTGCTTAAAAATGACCTGGATTTTAAATGAGCTTTCA